CTGCTGAAATTTCTTTTCAGCTTCCTTGTCTCCTTCGTTTTTATCCGGGTGATACTGAAGCGCTAGAACCTTGTATTCTGTTGTGATTTGTTCCACCTGAAACATTAAATCGTCTTTTCGTCAGACTTTTAGCACTACCGCTGGTATGACCCTTTTCCAAAATTACATTTATCTCGCTTTTCCTTTCTATAGAAATCTTTCAACCCCTCAGGGACTGCTGCTACAACGGGATAATTTTTATTTCAACCAAATACACAACACATTTCTGTCTATATTGTGTTTGCCCATTGAATTCCCCCGGGGTCGTAATATGATTTCTCTATTGTTTTCCACCTTCTAAATAAAAATCCATAGGGATCGTGTCAAATTTAATATAAAAATTTGAAATTAAGAAGAATGGAAAAGTAGAGTTCATCGAATAACAGGAACGAAGACGTGTTTTCACTTTTCATTTTCCACGGTGTTTGCGAGCGCGATAATCGAGAGGGATGTTCACCCTTATCGTCAGTTTCTCGAGCTAATGGAAACGAGTGATATTTGCCAGGCAATTTAATAAATTTGCCTAATGGGCGTAGAGTTTCTTAATGGAGCAGCAAGGCGAGAGACAGGCCATCGGTAAACAGGCAAACACGATCACTCATTAACCCCCACGGCTTTTTATTTAAAGCGACAAACGTTTATTTTTAGAAGATCCTGTGCGATCGACATCGAGGGAAAAAACAAGCTGACCGATGGCATAAATCCTTAGGAAGGGTCAGCAATGACTTTTATGCAAATTTAATGACGATGTATTAATCGAGACGGTGTAATTCTAATAATACAATCGGGTTTTCAATGGTGAACGGTTGAAAAAGTGACGTATTTTTGTCAAGTTAATTGACAGTCGTGTCAGCTGTGATCGATGTTAATCGAGAAGTTCGGTCAAAGTGCTAATTAAAGTTGTGCCCGACGGTGATGCAATTATCCCTCTGTGACGCGCTCAACAGTGAAGCTAATTAACTCGGCATAACTTCAGAAAGCATATTAAATCTGTACACTCGATTAAACATGCATGGAGCTCCGTGTAATGTGTAATACAAAATAACAAAAATAATAGGTAACGCACAATGAAAAGATGATTGAACGATAACAAACGAGATCCAACAATAAACCTTTCATTCTTTTTATTCTTTGTACGTGTTTGGTGCAATTCATGGATATAAGCGACGTGAGAATATAAAAGTAAATTATGCTAGCTATTATGAGTGTTGAGGAAACTTCAAGTTTTACGTAATACACGTAAAAGATACTTAGAAGTAATACACACAGCAAAAGGTCACTTCGAGTTTCCTTTTATTTTCTCTTCCGTCACAAGTTTTTTTCCTACTTTGATTAAGTTTCTGGGAACCAAGGAAATTTCTCTGATATGAATTCAGTTTAAAAACTGGGCGTATTAAAAAGAGATTTTCTATACTAATGTAATTTAAACGAGTATTTTACAAAAATTATACGATAATAATGGGCCATTAGGAGGTCACGTTTCATTGAATATTCAATGTTAAAGACAATTTCAGTTTGAGAATACAACAGTAAATATCGCAAGACATTATTTTTGTTTACAACATATATTTTTACAGACAAACGTTCCAAGAATGCTAATGAAATAAGAAAATGTAGCTTACCGTCGCGGATTCATCGCACGACAGAAGAGCATAGTAATCCTCCTCCTCGTTGGGCTTATAGTTGATGGCGTCCTCGACGCTCATTTTCCCTCTCGAAATCTCCTCTTTACCTTTATTGTCCCTTCGACGAAAACTGTTTTCCTCGAATCAAGTGAAATCCAGGAGCTACGAACTCCTAACCGGATATCCTGATGTCGTTCGATCTCGTTTTGTCACTGGTTCCGTTGATCCTTCTGCTCGTTTCGAGGATCTTTCGCGGCGTTGTTCCTGGTCACCTGTTGCCGTGTCGCGCGTCGGACGCTCGAGTGAGCCGAACGAAGGAGTACCGTGTCGCAGACCCGGAAAGACCCGATTCCCGGGAAATTTCTCGCGTGTGCGCAATCCAGCCGCTATCACCCTCTCCTCACCCTTCGTTCTTTCTTTCTCTAACCAACGACGATTCCGTCGATCGTCGTTAACCCTCCTTCGAGATGTTCCTGCGCACTCTCACCTGGTCCTCCCTGTTGGGTCAGCGTGTATTTTCGTCAGAATTCGACGCAATTTCTTGTTTGGACAACGATGAGGGTTGGTCTTTCTTTTTTCGATAGAAAAGCTTTCGATTGTTTGGCCAGATTCGAGAAGTTTGATTTGTAGTCTGGCTTTCGTTTAGAGAATTTAGATATTGCCTCGAGTTTAGCGATTGAAGGGATGATCCTTGGAGGTCAATTGTAATTTTTTGCTAAAAATATTCTAGGGATAAATGGCTAAGATTTTTCATCTCTTTTTTCGCTTTAGATAACAAGTTTTCACGTAAGTCATGTCTTATTGGATATCTTTGATAAAAAAAAATGTTAAACAACATAAATTGTAAAGATTTATAATTGTAAAAGTGATTAATCATGAAATTTGTAAATTTACAACGAACTGTATTATTCCTATTAGATGACGAGGAAATTCAAACAGGAGATATCTTTGCAGAAACAGGAAATCCTTGTTTCCGTCATCAAACCAACTGTTTAATGGATTCCCCTAAACGAATAACCGAATGTCGCAATTGATTAACATTCTCCGAGTAGAATTCGATAATTCATGTCACGTTTGCAATACGAATCATTGCGTAATTTTCATAATCGTATGTGACCAGCTCCAAAATTCGATTATGTTAATCAAGTATCTATTTTCTGAACTCACTGTTTCAATCCCTCCCCGCAGATGTAAAGTTGCAATTGCAAAACTGTCAAGTTGCATTAGAGTGGAAGAAAATTTCCTGTTTAATTTTTCCTTGATCCTGTAAGTTGTTTACAAGAATGTAATTTCTAAGAACACTCTGTAACCGCGTGAAACACAGTCGACTAGAATCGATGTCGACGAATACTGCGTCTTGATTTTACGGGATATTCCAGAGACTTGTGGCTTTCACTCGCGTCTCTGTGACCTCGAACCTTGCCTCGCGACTTTACCGACCGAGTGATCCAGATCTAGATCTCAGTCGCGAGCTGCTGCTAGCTTTGCATCGAACACGAGGTCTCTGTCGATCACTTGTTTCAAAGATTATAACGATACTTTCGTCTTGTCGCGTCTTTTAAGAAAAACAGAATAAATTCTATTAAATTCGTCGTACGCATTGGCAGAAACGACGAAGGCGTAAAGAAACGTTTGTTTCTCGCGGATAATCTTCCCCAAGCTCGTACGTCATTAGAAATTCAAATTTTTCTTAAGGATTATGGGAGAGGTTGGAGAGAAGAAGGCACAAAAACGTGACTGAATGTGTGTAAGTTCATTATGCATTCGTCTCGTTTCCGTTGAAGACGGCACTGATTATCGGTACTCTCTGCTCACAGCTGTTAAGACTATTGTCTCGAAAAGCTGTGGAGCTTTTAAACGAGAAAAGCTCGAGATAAGGAGCTCCCACGAATCTGGCATCGACCATCCTTTGTTTTTAATCCGAACCGAACTTATCTTCTTCTATATTGTACTCTATACTTTCTGAAATATCAAATACCAAGTTTAACATAATTTTCTATAAGCAGTGAGTACCGGAAACCGAATAGGCGGGCACGGAAACGTGTGAAACACGTGTCAGCCAAGCGTCAACGTTTCTTTCTCGGCGAATCGGCAAGCTGGAACGGTCATAGACGGTCACATTTTTCAACGTTCGAGTGTGCAGCACGTGACAGCACGTGCCATAGTCAGCTACGAACGTTTCTCCGAATTTAGGAGAACCGATTCGTCGTTTCGCCATTCCCATCCTGTGTTTTGTTCTCTTAGAAAGAATGGAGGTACGCCTCGTAACGCGACACTCCACCAGCTACCACCAATAAATCATTCCTACTTTTAGACTTTAGTCAGTCTTGTCTTGCCAAATTTAAACTTGCTTTTTCCTATCGTAAGCAGAAATCTAAATTTTATTAATAAAATATAGAACACAGAATTCATATAAATAAAGGTAGATAGATGAATAAACCATGAACATCTTGATAATTTCGTGCATCGCAATCCAGGATCATTATTTTGAAGCTTCTTATTACAATTTCCTTGGTCTTACTCAGCTCGAAACGCGAACGATATTACCGATGCTTGTCGGTTCGATCATTAAAAACGATAAACGGTTGTTCACCGTGCAACTTTGTTACAACAGCTGTTATTAAAAATCTCCATTTTTCGAATGGATCGTCTGGCCGATTACAAGTTGGAGGGAACACATCGAAAGGGTTACAGTGTTCTAGTCCGAAAGGAAACGTAGCCCTCGTCTTCTGGAGGAAACACGCGCTCCGCTCTGTTTCCGTAGGCAGATGCGTGACAGACACGCAAGCGTGCACGCGCGCGGTACTAACCTTACCCTAACAACTAACAAGATACATTTTCTATCAGACTGTTCTCTACTCTTCGCTAGGGATGTTCAATCTTTTATATTCCTTTAGCGATACCGTACTCCTCCTTATACTAAATGTTTAAATATTATCATTTTTATTAATATAATTATCTTCATTTTGCTGCGGTTGTTAGCCTTCGTGAAACGAGAACTTGATAGGAATAATTTTTGAAAGAGCTAACGTTGCTGGTTCGCGGCAGGAGGTAAAGTTCGAAACCGAATGTTGCGGGTAATTATATTTAGTGGAAGCGCGCGTGTGTTGCTCGCCTTTCGAGGAATATACCCCTAGTTTCCCTTTTACGTTTGTTCGCCGGCTTGCACCGTCTCTTCTTCGGGTTCTCTCCTTGTTTATCTGGAAATAACGTAGCTGGCGCACATGGGCGTTTCTTCGGGCATTGCCAGATGCGTGGGTGGTGGCAGTGAAGAGAAGAGAGAAGGAGAGCACGAATGACGGTCACATGGCATCGTCGTGGACTCTTCTTCTGCTCTGACTTGTCAGTATTCCGTGAAGTGTTGTGCCGTGCTTGCGTGCGCTTCTCTTCCAGCTCGAGCCCGCGCACCGCCAGCCTTTCAAACTCCTTCAAACGCTTTCGAACGCTTTCGAACGCTTTCGAACGCTTTCAAACGGCTGGAAAAACGCCCTTATTCCGCTCGCACCCTCAACGCGACAGACCTATTCGTGGAAAACTGTGTCACGGGAAATTGGATCGCAGATATTCTGCTCGGGGTATTAAATCGTAATTACTATACTCGATGGAAGGATTTGGAATTGTCGCCGTTGGAAATTGATGCTACTGACAATGAGAACGAATTTTTTCTATCTGGGTCAAATAAAAGGTTGAGGTTCTGTTTGGATAAAGATTGGAGGGTCAGAGGAAAACAATACGAAGAGTAATCTGGAGATATACAAGACTGACCAATCGTACTAATTGTAATCAGCCGAGTCAAAATAATGACGAACAATGGAAAGATTTATTGCTGGATATTGATGCAATTAGAAATGAAACAAAAGGTTAAGGGTCAATTTGAATAGGCAAAGTCTCGAAGCTTGCTTGCATCGAAAGGAGAACAATGCGGCCAAGAGTCATCTGGAAACTTACAGGATTGAACAGAAACTTTGAGAAACTTCGTCAGAAACAGTAGCAATTGTAATTATCTACGTTGAAAGAACGAAAGGCTCGGTGGAAGGATTTAAAATCGTAGTTAATGGTAATCGATATAACCTGGAATGAATTTTTCAAATGTGGGTCAAATAAAAAACCCAGTGGGAAGTGAAGAATCAGTTTGGAGGCTTATTTGCGTTCAGAGAAAAAAAGTACCGATGAGAAGAGTTAGATAGGAAGATTCCTGCAATTTGAAGACAAAGTTAGGAGATGAGTCTTCCGGTGTACATCAAATTAGGGTTCGTTCCCTTTTAAAATTCAGTCGATGACAATGTCATCGAACATAAGCATTCCGGCGTGATTCGATTTCGTATTCGTTTGAATAGAAGTTTGGAGGCCGATCCCTCTAAAGATAGCAGTTCGAAGGTCTTCGCGAAAGAATTTGGCTGAGCCATTTTGGGAAGTTCGCGAGGGGAATTAGGAAACGACACACAGGAGCCTTCGACAAATTTTTCACGATACAACAAATTGTTTAATGTTGTTTCAACGAACAACGCGAAAGTGTGCTTCAATTTCGCGCGCAAAAAATTGCGGTAAAAAGGGGTGTTATCGAAAGGGTCTCGTTACGTACGAATAATGCTACCTTTCATAACTTCTTTCCCTGCCTTCAGACGGATAAAAACATCTGTAACTCCAAGTGTGTTTTCGAAGAAACTACGTCTCCATTGATTAATTGCACGTTTCGAGACTCTGCTAACTTGTCGATCCGAGACGCCATCAGAAAGAAAAGGGAATCGTCAGAAGAAGATATTCAAAGAAGAATGGACATATGGAATAAATTTAACCAATCATCGGGAGAAGATTGAAGGTAAGACTTTTTATCAATTCCAAGAAGGATGTTGATGATTTGATATTACTTTAAGCCGGGTTTATTTTCGTCGATGTTCAATAAGCGAAACAATTTCCTAACTCAACAAAACTAGAACGCGATTTTATTTTAAGGGAAGATTATTCGTGATGATTCGCGGAACACGTGGACGATCAGCTGATGGAACCGGTGTTGCATCGATAAATGTCACATTACGTGTTCGTTCATGCACATGCAATATTCACCAACCTAGTTGTCTTTAGTTCAGTCATTCGAATGATTGTTTTTCGCATATATATTTTGATGTGTCGTAATCGGGCAGTTTTTCATCACGTATGATCCAGCATGGAGTACTTTTAAGGCGTCCGCATCGAGAAATCTGTACGAATATTCCATTAGGAATTAGGCAGGCAGCTCGCAGTGTATATTAATAGATCGAACCTGACAGCCGAATCTAACCAGACGCTCGAATGTTATACGCGAAATCGTTTCGTTCGTACCTCCTCGCTACCGACCTCGATGCGAGTTATATTTCAATACGTTTTATATAATTCTTTCGGATTTTCTACATTTCGTCCGAGTGTCACGAAGGGTAGAAGCTTCAAGTGCACGCTCGGAAATAGGATCATCGAATTGGTGTTACGTAAAGAAATGGGAAGGGTTGATTAACGCTGATTGCGACTCGACGGTCTCATCAGTAAGTCAGCACTTATTTAATTATTTGTTAATTTCTTAACATTTACTATTAGAGTTCTATGAATCTCGGGTGTTTTACTCGAGAGAAAGATAAAAATTTGCAAAACAGATTTGCGTGAAGAATATTCGTAGCGGCGTTCTACGCCATTTTCTACGTTCTATTTTATTTTTGCCTCAAGGTGAAAATGAAGTTCGTCGATCGTTGCCGGGTCAAGCTGAACTGCATTTAACTCGTGTGTAGCTATACGTACGCGATGCACCTGCTGTTATGGGCGATGAAAAAAGCAGTGCATCCGGCGATGCACGTGCTCTTCCCTTTCGAAGGGGTGTGCTCGCGTTAACTTTTACTCAAGATCGTTCCTCTAAATTAATTAGTACGGAGCTACGTAAATGAAGCTGATTTGCAAATCAACACTCTTATTCATTCTACTTGAACGAGTGCACGCGTGCCATCTTCCTTCGTTCGTTATAACACAAATGTTATTACATATTATTAGATAAAAGTTTGCAAACATACAATTGTACGGATGAAAAATAACAGAAATGTCGAGTAGTAATGATCGAAATGAAAGAACCGATTATAGTGATCACGAGGTTAACAGTAATAATCGTATAAAATGACAGCAATGACCGCAACGATAATATAACGGAGACATCAAAAACACCATTAAAAGATGACAGTCTCAATAACGTTAATAAAAAAACAAGTACATAGTATCTTGTCAATCGAAAGTCTTCCTTACTTTCAGTGGTCCAATGAAGCTTACTTAAAGTGGACCACCTTGTAAGTTAATACATAGAGGAAAACGATAAGAAGTAGACTTCCCTCGAGTATGTTGTTTCGCAGGAAACAATAAAAGGACGATGGAAAACGAAGAAAAGCGAATGAAGAATCGCAAAGAAGTCGGTGAAAACGTTGTCGCAACGAATAGGAGACAATTCACGCATCGCAGCAACGTGATTCGTCCCATCAGCTGATCCATTTGGACAGGGGAGTAAATCAGAACGTGCTCGAGCTTTCATGGGAACGATAAGCCGACAGTCTCTCTTTCTATCGTTCTCCTCGTCCGTCCTTTCCTGGCAAGCTCACCTCTCTTCATCTTCGTCGGAAGCCGCACGAAAATAGCGACAAATCTGATTGCAGCAACAACCAGGGAGTAACTCGCGAGTCTCGAGCACCTTGCCCACGGAATTCGAACGAATTTTCACGGAAATGAATTTCACTTACATACAGTTGGATTAGGTTGATGGATTCCGCGGTGAATGCCTGGTAATTTTTCAATTAAACCACGACTCTTGCGGTGATATTGTTCTCCGTGGCTTGCAAATGGAATTGGAGCGAATTTTTAGGGAAATCAATTTCGGTTGCATAGACTTTCATTAGTTTGATGGATTTCGGGATGAATGACTGATAACTTATCGATTAATCCATTGATATCGTTGTTTCCGTGTTGCAAATGGAATTTGAACGAATGTTTCATTGCTTGAGAAGATTGGAAGTGAAACTAGTATGTAGGAGAGTTCCAAGATCTCGCGCCAATATCCCGATAAAACATGAATGAAACGGTATCTACTCGATCCATCGCATCCCCCTTTGCCACCCCGTCCGAACACCATAAACCTGTCGTGGTTGTCGCGCGACACGCGTCTCCCTGCACCGTTCGCTCTAAATATAATATTCTAGCGTATTTTCAGCGATGAATGAAACGCTCTCGGAAAGCGTATGGGGTTGGCAAGCACCGAATCGAGGTGCAACGAATCGCACCTTGAAAAAAAAAATATCTCTCATCTAGTTGAACTTTTCTTTTCTTTTCTTTTGCGTTTTCGCTTCCATCTGCGCCAGACTTGCCGCCTACGCGACAGAATTCCGTTTTGCTGTGGTTATCGCTGAAAATTAATCGACTCGTTCGGCAAGCGATTGATTGATTGATTGATTGATTGATTGAATGGCGGGGAAAAAATCGGAGAGAAATAGGCAGCTTTTTTAAAGAATACTTTTTTCAGTGCATATGTAGGAAATTGAATATTTCTAGGGTATTGTACTTAAAATTCATAAACTGAAAAATAATGTAAAAGATTTTAACTGTCGGAATGTGTTTCTTTTTGCAGAATACCGGAGCGACAGGAGTTTCTCGTACAAGAGGTCACGATGGCAGTCGGTAAGCTTTTACCCGTTCTTGGACCAATCTACGCTCACGTATCTCGAGGACGTTTTCGTACTCGCGTCACGCGTTTTTCGCATAATCGCACACGTTCCTGTATCACGAACCCGGCTACCGCGTATTCCGCTCTGACGATGCGCTTTTTCTATCGTTTTTCATTTCCTACCAGCCACTAACGTAAACAGCATCTCATAGTATTTCTGTAGACGAGTCCTTGATCGTCCTTTCAACGTTGCCTTTCCTGGAAATTCAATATATACATGTTGTCGATTCGAATTTTTTAATTGTTCGACCAAGAGAAACGTCGGTCATCGCGATAACCTTTTTCCATCGTACAACGAGCTGTGCATTTTAAATAATTAAAGTTGTCAGTTAACCCCATCGAAAGGGGATGAATAATTTATTCCACTGTTTGGACCGATAACGAGTCTCGAAATCGTTCAAAGATCTTTCAAGTCGAAGCAGTAGCCTCGACGAGTCTCGAAGAAGCTTTTTAAGTTGTTGAACACGTTCGTGGAATGCAACGGGAGAAATCTTGTGAAAAGATTTTGATCAGTCAAATTCGAATTCGTAGGCGAGCAGCGTGTTTGGGAACCGTTCTCGATTCAATTCACACACTCCAGTCACGTAATCGCTATCGATCATGCAAATTTCACAGATCTCTGCCAATTCACCGACGCTGTTCGAGATGTAAATTGTTCGTTGTTTTATTTAGAATAAAATAATTTGAATACTAAGCGTTTCAAACGCACAGAAGGTGTTATCCCAAGAATTGATCATTGAAATGGGGTAAAAAATGAAATTGAAAAATACTTTTACGGAGTTTATGTAAATGTTGAAGTTGACAGGAAATTCGGTTCGTGAATCTTCACGATTCTTCCTTCCTCTTGACGAGGTCGATTCATCTTCGAAGAGTAATAACGCGTGGATCGTGAACGACGTCGGAGGACTTCCGGTGCCGTGTAAGTACTTACGTCTGCCTCGTTCTCCGCTTCTGGTTTATGGGGTGGGGGACAATACAACGTCCGGTCCATCCCCCCACTTTCAAGTACCATTCGAATCGTTCATGGCGTCCTATAGACATCGTGTGTATCTCTGACCGACCAGTCTCAGGTGGACCTTGTATTCGTCTAGTCGCGAAATTTCGATTTTTCTATCGAATAATCAAAAATATTACCTACGCTTCTTTCCACTATTTATTTCATCAACAAAAGTTTGTTAATTTTGGTAATTTTAAGGTGAAACAAAGTTGGTCGTATAGAAGTTTGTGATTAGATTCTTGTGATTAATCAGTGACAATTTTTGTTTGAGTCAATGATTACTTTTGCGAGCAACAGGTGTGCTTTTATGATTAGGGAATCAATCGTTTATCGGTGATGGTTCACCACACCACGGGTGAACTTGGACCAATTCTTTAGAAACTCGTACAGTAAAGTTTCTGTTTTCGAAAAAGTTATCCTTCAAGAGTAGAAGTAAACAGAGCATTGGTCTCGCAAACGATCCATAACCCATTAGACAGGAAGATTTCTACTTGGACAAGAAAATCCCATATCGAGGAAATCTTGTATCGCTATTGAAAAGAATCTTATCAACTTTAATTGATCTGACTCGTATTACCTCAAGTGTAATAAGACCTATTTTCATTGGTATCAGTGTACTTCAACGATCATCAGCAGAACGAAAATGCATTCTTCAGAAACTTATTAGCTCCACTTCGTCTAAATCGCATAAAACCAGTTAGATCACAGCTGAAGTATAAAAGCAAACGGCCTGATGATCTCGTAAACGATCAACAAACAGAGAAACGAAAGCGTCCTTTCAGAGATTTCTATTTGAAGAAAGAGTCTCTATGATTTTCGGCCCGTATGTTCACAGACAACCCCTCGTATTTCTCGTTGTCGAGCGGTGCAGCGTCGTCGTCGACGACGCCGACGTCGACAACGAGCCTAGCCTTTTCACCGCCGTCTAAAGGGCCCTCTGGCCTGACGGCCCTTTTCCGAAGACGACCCTGTAAGATGGGCACAACTTCGTCGGCGAGTGTACTCTCCACGTCGACGACCAGCACCCTGATGCACCAGGAGAGTAATCGGAGCAGTACGTCGGGTAATTCGACGCCCTCGACGCCCACCGAAGAACGCGTCCCGATGCTGCCTAGAAATGGGATGCCTCATTGCGGAAACGGACCTCCTTCGAATCAAAGAAGAAGCTTCAGGAACCTCTTCAGGTCTGTCAGCGCGAATGCGGATAACGAGAAGACTCAACAATTCCTGAAAGGCGATCCACGACCTTCCGATGTCGCGCCACCTTCCCCGTATCTACCTCATAGGTTCGTATTTTACCCTTATTCGGAAACATTGCGATAGCGTACGCATACTGACGTAAGGTCTGACATTTCCAACAGGTCGCATTCTCATTCTGAAAACGACAGGAGACGACCAGGACGAAGTAGACCGGTGCTCAAGTCAGCCAGCGAACTTTTGTCCAACGATATGGTGTACTGTGGCTTGGCTAGGGACAGCCACGATCATAACAACGTCGATGACAACGACCACGACGAGGACGACGACGACGACGACGACGACGAGGATGATCAGGACTCGAGCGAAGTATTCGTGGGTGTCGACGATGCTAGGTTAGTAGTCACAGGAATTAAGTTCAATGTTATTCTGAAAATACTTGGCAATAAATTAACACGATATTTGTATTTCAGGTATTACAACCTGTCAGCCACCCTGCCGGCCGCAGGCTCGGCAGCAGCAGGACGAAGGAGACACTCGATCGGCACGTTTCTAGGCAAAGATCGAGCTACCTCGACTAAAGATAATCATGGAAGAAGGCAACCGCAAGGTTCAACAGTCCTTGTAGAACCTGACACGATGGCACCACCTGTACCAGTTGACACAGTGGACGGTGTCCATATAGAGGACAGAGCAACGAGATCCTGTAGTAGGACCAGGCGTAGACGTCATCGTAGCTCCTCCAGCAGGGGTGAGTACACGAAGAAAGACTTAATAAGCGGCTGTATTAAAAAGTGTTAGCTGTTGGATAGTCTCTCAGAGGCTTGCAAGAACTTCTGCAAGAATCGCTAGTTAACAACTAGAGTTCTCTTCTGGAGTAGTTATTATTTTGATTTAAGCAAAACTGTCTCATCGCATCGATGAGCATGCCAACGAGACTTAATTGGCCGATTAAGAGAGCTTAGAATCGGCCAGACAGCAATAGATTGAGTAGCCAGAATGGAAGACTGAATGTCGCCGTTGATTCTCACGAGAGCAAATGGTCGGAACCATTGGATCCAATATTCGTCAAATTCGTGCCTATTCTTTCCTCCTTGTCGATCAATCGCGATGACGATTATGTTAGCCACTCGAGCCTGGTCGCGTTCCCACGGGCCAGATTTCGCTTTGCGAGCCCGCATGCCCCGTTCGAATCACGTACAAAAGCCTCGTTACGAATTCGAACTGGCATGATGGGCGACTCGATTTCGATCGGTTCTCCAAACCCTTCAATCGATTCTGGTAAACACCTTTCCCTTCGACCAATAACGTCCTGTAAAAAAAAGTTTCAATCGATTGAAGGTAATTGTTCAACTTGAAGAAGTACATACCCTGAGTGGTTTAAAATAAAGAAATACATACAATTATTAAAAATATGAGAAGCAATTATAGCATACTAATTGCAAGTAGCAGGAAAGGAAGATTAAAAGTAGTTTTAATTAACGCGTTAACGAAACGATCTAAGGGAAATTGTTTCGCACCTCCCTAAAGATCGTGAAAGGATAATCAGTAAACTGAACGAGCTTCTCACCTCGTCTAATTGGATCTTCAGCGACAGTCTTGTTTATACATCAAGGAAATGAAACAGCAAAGTTAAACGAGCAGTTCATTTATCAACAATATCAACCGTCACCATTTAAGATCGTTTAAATGTACACTCACCTCTGAGACTCTTTAACAATTTAAATCATTTGATATAATTTAAGAAAGACAGAATATAATTATACAAAGATTATAAAATGTCAGTTGCGAAACGAAAAGCACGCGATTCCCAGGATTGGCGGGAATCCTTTTAAAATTTCAATTAGGAATCGAGGTCCTAAAGGATATCCGGTGATCTTTGATCGGCTCGCAGATAATCTTCGTCTGGGTAAAGACGTGTGTAGAAGACGCCGAGGGCCCAGGATGTCCCCGGAAGCTCGGTACTTTTAGTATTCGTCAAACGAGCAACGGTTTTCCGACCTGTGCTCGATCGAACCAGCCGAAACATACAGGGGGACAGATTGTAAAATTTACGGCCATACGTGACCCGTCGATCGCACCGACTGAAACACATTAATTCCACGTGATCCAGCCGCGGCTCTTGGAACTTATGTCGTCCACGTGTCTCACGTGTCCCTTTGTTGTTGCTTAATTAGCGACCATCCTCGCTTCCGGAGACCTCGCGACACGGCAATTGTGTTTAAAAGTTACATTTTTCATCCAGTTGTTTAACTTGTGATTAATAAACTTGAAGAAGATTGGTGAAACTTTTTCTCCTTCTGCTTTTAATTAAATCCAGAAATGAAACGTGGATATCCGCGCAGCAGGGCTCCGAGAATCCTCGATTCTACCAGTGGCATTTGTAATCACAGGGATTTACAAGATAAATTCAATTGGCAGACATGGAAAAGAGGGAAAAATAAACGAATTCGAGATATAAAGTTTATGAAAATATTTGAAAGATAGGAAAAAATGGAGGATAGGTAATGGTGCACGAATGTAAAGAGCTCGGCAGTAGCCGGATTATCGTTGTCTGGCCTTCCGTAGCGGAAGTTTTCGTTGGTTTGTTGACACTGTCACGTCATCCCGTCCATACGACCAGTCGAAAGGATACACTCCACTTTACTATATTTTTTTTCTCTGTGCCCATGGGGTCGCGACGGGACAGGACAGAACAGGACAGGATAAACTGTGTATGTAGGTACAAGTCTGTCGAAAGAAGCCGTGCATCCGGCTCTGCGTAACTCGCACCATGTTGCATCCGGACGAGACGTTGTCGTGACACGTTGTCCTCGTGTGTTCGTTCAAACAAACCTCGTTGATTCGTATTCCAGCTTTACGACACGACCTGTCATGTTTCCTTTCGAAAATTAGTGGTCGTGACTTCTAAACACCATCAATTCTGTACGATCGAAAGGATAGGACAATAGTAGAATTATCATTTTCTCATTTATGGTACATGATAATTACGCGTGTTCAGTGAATGGGATTACACAATATTGACACGTTGAAAATCCTACATTACAAAAACAGTATTCAATGTCGTTTGTGTAGAAATTCGACATAAGGAAATGGTTCTTCTCGAGTGCATGGTTGCGGAATGATAATTAATGATTCTGTTTCGCGTGACGAAGCTCGTCCGATGGCATGTTAAGTAGACAATAGAGCAGGTCGCGTAGATCTGCTTGGAAGATGCCGGTGTCAATAACCGTGAAATTAAGCATTCCATCGGCACATACCTCTTTCCATCCGCGTATATATTTACCGGTTATACTTCCTGGTGTCGATCGAGCACGATTTCCGGTCCCACCCTTGCTGGAACTTCGTTTCCGGAACGCTGTCGCTCGATTTCCTTCACTTTTCCCTCCACCTAGGATTTTTCAATTAAGTAAATATGAAATTTGAAATTCTCCTTCGTCAGGGTTATAAAGCAGTTCTCTCGTTAATTAATCCAAATTGGCTATTAATTGTTCACACCGTCGATATTCGTGTTACATTAAATGGAAATTAAAATTAAAGCTTCTTAGCGTCGCGTCAGGATGAATGCCGTCTTCCGCTTTTTTACGCGGTCTCCGTAGTAAAGAGAGATAAGAAAAAGTAAAGGGGGAGGCAGAAGTCTTCCTTTTGCCAGCAATTACTCTTAATTATCCCTCAGTCGTCCTTCGACTTCATTAATCGCGCTAATTGGACTGGAAGAGGAAGAATCGCCATAAGTCGAATCGCAAATTATACACGATTATATTTACCCCTCCTGCTTAACAAGCGATTATATTTCGATCCGTTAAAATTTGTTTTTCTACCAGGCTATTTACTGATACACGAGAAACTAGGCAAACATCCGGAAGCCGGTTAACAGACTTGAATCCTCTTATCGAGTGATTCGTGCCAGGCACCCGTTGGAATAAGCTTCTTTCCACATTTCCCTCAACGCTTTTCTGTATATTTTTTAGATTTTTTATTATCGAAGCTAATAGATTTATAATTCCCCGATGTATTTTAATCGTAAATACCGACCAGAGACAACGTAGAATATTAAAAGTAATTTTACAAAAGGTTCATTACCTCGATTCACTGTTGTAATCGCTTTCATTGAATTATATTGAATTATAAAATCCCTATTATGCGTTGATAAAGGGCGCGGACCTTCTAAACGAAGGTTAATTGCCATGAAAAAAGAAAGAGAAAAGAAAGGGCGAGCGATCGTTCGAAAATGATTTCGAGGTCCAATTTTGATGCGTGCCCTGGAAAGGGATTCGAGATTGGAGTTGGAACGATCATCAAGTACCTAAACGAACTCTGATTGGTCAATACGCGATGTCCGGCAACTGCGATTTATTCGGTGAACCGGAAGTCCACTGTTGTTCCTCTGTCGATAACTCTTGTACGAATGTCACGTCCATGGCAAAGTGCGTGCACGATTTCCCTAACGTATCAAACAAATGTTTACTTTTATCTTTAACCAAAAGGTACCGACATCGTTACTCAAATTTTCTATTAATCTTTTTTTTCATATCGGTGCTCCTTTACAGTATACGCAACAGTTCAAAGATACGCATACGATTTATTGGAAATAAATTATGCAACGGAAGCGAGGTGAACCGTGTTTCTCTACGGCACGGATTGCGAGCGATTTAGCGACAATCATCGGTAAATACCGCGTGAAATGTCGTCGCAGCAAGCGTCGCGACGCACCCTAACGCCGGTATAAAGTCCTGCTCCTATTTCTGTTTTTACAGCCGCCCCTTTATTATTTTTATCCGGCTGCCGGCCGCTTATTTTCGTGTTCATATGCATTTTCTACGGTGCGCCGACTCTTCTCTATTTTTACTATTTCATCCGTGAAAAAGTATCTCACCAACGACCGATGAATTTCACGCGAATTCGACCCTCCTCGATCTCTTCTGTGACATTCGACCTCCTTCGAAACATCTTTTTCATGTTCAACTTATTTACTCCTCGATCTTATTACGAGTTTTAAATAAAACTTTTCAAATTGTATTTCTATTATTCTTTTCTTTCCAATTTTATTCGAAATTTCATAAATTCCATTCTAAAATCTCTGCAACCGTGTTTTACTCGTTTCAGAAAGTTTCTATCGATACAGAAAGAGATGTAACTTCGAGATAGAGTAAATCCGCGCCTTCCTATTTGCTCTTCCAAGCTTAGAAAAAGATACGAGTCTGTCACGATAGGAAATCTTTTATTTACCTATTTATTTTAAGGAACCTTCCCGTATCTCTTAAAGTATCTTTCCGTTTCTCGTATTAAAATTCTATAATAATTGTTAGTTGAAACAATTTTCCAACATTAGAAACGACGTGATTCTTGTTCACAAAGAAAATCTGCAAATTTTATCAAAAGTTTCACTTTACAAGGGAACGTAAACCAATAAGATTTGCATATTTAATGAGATCAGTCTGCTTGCAGACTAGTTAATCGAAACTTCTTCCCTTTGTTTCCATAAAGAGTTGACCGCCTACGAAGATCATGACTCGGAAAGTTTTAAGCTCGTTAAGACTCGGTCTTTAAACTTGCAGGGTATATAACCAGACACACCTCCGTTGTTCCATAAACCTCGTAAATTATATCCGTATTTTCTAACCTTTTAGAAAAAGTTTATTTTACTTTGAGCAAATTGAAGCTTTACTTGATTATACAAACCTAGATCAATCTCGATATACTTTACATTAGCAACTTCGTGTTTTCATGCTTAATAGCATGAAATTTTTT